CCAGCACCCCGGAGGCTCGGCGGGCGGCGGGCGGCAGCTGAAGCGGGACCCTGAGAGGCCCGAGAGCGCCAAGGCATTCGGACGCGAGGCCTCAGGTGCCCAGGGCGAGGCGGAGGTGCGACACCCACCCGTGGGCATCGCGGTGGCTGTGGCCCGGCAGAAGGACAGCGGAGGGAGTGGACGGTTAGGGCCCGGCCTGGGGGACCAGGAGCGGTCCCTGTCCCTTAGCAACGTCAAAGGTAGGATCTGAGTTCACCCCACCTCTACTTCAAAATGTTCCCATTTTGTTGTATAGAACTGCGTAGCATGCTGAACGTGAGCCTACACCAGTTCACAGTTTCTGAGTCTACCGCGAGGCGGACGTCTGTGGGCTTTTCCAGGCGGGGTAACCATTATCACCTGCCCTTTCCAAATGGTTTTCTCCCCCAGGAAAGTAAACTCATTATCCCTACCCCTCTGCCCAGGTGTAGCTAGTCTGCAGCTGCTACAGCCTCCTTTGATGCCATCCAGCCGACACAACACGCAGGCAGACAGCCTTTGGACTTTAGGGGATGCTATGGTTTAAGCTTTTTTTTTTTTTTTAAATCATTTTATTGGGGGCTCGTACAACTCTTAGTACAATCCATATATACATCCATTGTGTCCATCACGTTTGACCATTTGCTGTCATCATCATTCTCAAAACATTTTCTTTCTTACCAGCTCCTCATTCCCCCCTCCCTCACCCTTGATAACTTAGAAATTATTATTGACGCAATGGATGGATGCATGGATTGTGATAAGAGTTTTACGAGCCCCCAGTAGAATGATTTTTTAAAAATGATTTGGTTTAAGCTTTAAAGATGATGGCGGGGCCTTCCTTTTGAGGATGTTCATCCAGCCTCAGTTGCTCCAGAGAACCGGATTCTGTAAGACTTTTACAGTTCTGACTCCCTTTTTGATCAGTACTTTTCTGTGTGCGGCTCTTCGAGCAGGTTACCTTCCTTTGCTTGGAATGTCTTGCCCTCTTGTCTCGTACCCCCCATTTCTCAACTTCCCTGTTGTTTTTGATTTCTGGCCTTCTGGTCCCGGTGTCCACCCCCTTTCTTACCCTTAATCTCTTGTCTCCCCAACTTCTCGGGTCCTCTGGCCCATGGGTGGGCTGCCACTGCTGTCTCAGGTTTATTACCACTTGTGTTATGCATGGAGGAAATGTGGATGTTGGAGACCCATCAGGGGTCCACAGCCAGGTAGCACCCCGAATGTGCACACACGTAGATCTCTCCGGAACATGTTGCTCACGGGCCGCCTCCCAGTTTGCAGAGCTCGCCATGGGTGTGTGCGCGTGTGGTCTCAGGCTGGCTTGCATCTCTAGAAGGGAGAGTTCTCTTTTCAGACAAAGTGCAGTTTGTTTGTCCGTAGCCCTTAGCGTTCTGTGGGGAGTCTGTCCCGTCCTCAAGCGCCCCGCTTCGCTCGCTGGCTCTCTCTCCTCCCGATGCTTTGTGCTCAGCGTTTGCCCTGCGTGTTTGGGGCCCTTGTGAGTTCCTAGTATTCGGAGTCATTTTCCAAGAATAGTTTCCAGGAGTAGGTGAGCATGAAGCCTGAGGTTTTCAAATCCTTGAAGGAGGAAACCACATCTTAGCTATTTCAGAGCCCGCTCTTCCCCAACCTGGCACATAATACCCAGTTGAGTGAGTGCGTGAGTGGGGGAGCAGAAACGGGCTCCAGTGTTTTTCCTGTTCTCTGGCCCAGGGATTTTTCCCTGGTAGCAATCCCACGTCCACGCAGAAGACCTGGGTGTTCAGTTCCCTGGCCAATGACTTATACTCGGCTGCCACCGCCCATCATCGGAGGCTTGTGTGTTGGCTGTGATGCCACACAGCTTTCAGCGCCAGTTCTGGGCTAGAACAGGCTAGAAAGGAAAGCCTGGTGCTCTGTTTCTGAAAATCAGTCCATGGGACCCCCACGGATCACAGTGGTCCAGTCCTGTTGTGCACGGGGGTCACCAGGATCTGGGGTAACCTTGGTGGCCCCTAAGCTCTAAGAACAGCAAGCTCATAGGGGTCTTGACATAGTGGATCATCGGTGATTTTACACATGGGTCCGCCAGGTCTCATTCACGGTCCTCAGAATCGTTTTAGTGGCAGTCTTGCAAACGGAAGCCACCAGTGGCTCAAACCTAAAGGTGAGCGCACATCCATGGAATCTGAGGAGTCTGTGGCAGGGCAGAGCCTGCCCTGTGGGCTTCTGAGACTGGGAGGGTCTCCCTTTTTATCCCCTACAACGAATGGGGCTTATTAGGGGAGTTAACAGGTTGCCACAAGTCAAGATCAGCAAACAGTAAGGATATAATCATTGGTCTCCTCAGCCAGCAGCCTAGTCTCTCTCCGGTTGTTGGCCTCTCAGTCACGTGGTTCCTTGGCCTTTGTCCCCCTGGGCCAGGACGCTGTCCCACCTTCCCCTCTGTCCCACGGTTCCATGGTCTCGGGAAGGTAACTCTCGTGACTGTCCATCTTGACTGTCCATCTTTCTCCCTGCTGTCCCCAACTCTAACGTACCATGCCGTGCGGGTGGTTGCTCATTCGGAGACAGGCTGATTCAGACTCCTAAGGACCCTATAGGAGTAAGTAGGACAGCCCCGTAGGGGTGTCCGAGGCCGTCCGCTTCGCGCTGGGGTGGGCTCGAAGCTCTGACCTTTTGGTTTTCGGCCTGAGGCTGAAGGTGACTGGGTGAGGGTTTTGCAGGACGATCCCGGTCCTGCTTCCTCCTCCCCAGAGGAGCTGTTAGATTCCTCTTGGGAATTTGGATTCCTGGCTCTTTTTCTTATTCCCCCAACACTTTTCTCTCTCTCTTTCTTTCAATCATTTTATTGGGGGCGCGTACAACTCTTATCACAATCTGTACATCCATCCATTGTGTCAAGCACATTTGTACATGTGTTGCCATCATCATTCTCGAAACATTTGCTTTCTGCTTGAGCCCTTGGCATCAGCTCCTCATTTTTCCCTTCCCTCCCCGCTACCCCCCTCCCTCACGAACCCTTGATAATTTATAAATTATTATTTTGTCATATATTTAAAAAATTTTTTTCATCTCTTACCCACTCCCTTCACCCACTTTTCTGTTGTCCACCCCCCAGGGAGGAGGTTGTATGTAGATCCTTGTAATCGGTTCCCCCTTTCCACCCCACCTTCCCTCCACCCTCCCGGTATCGCCACTCTCAGCATTGGTCCTGAAGGGATCCTCTGTCCTGGATTCCCTGTGTTTCCAGTTCCTATCTGTACCAGTGTGCATCCTCTGGTCTAGCCAGATTTGTAAGGTAGAATTTGGGATCATAAAAGTGAGTGGCGGAAAAAAAAATAGTGGGTGGTGGTGGTGGGAGGAAGCATTTAGGAACTGGAGGAAAGTTGTATGTTTCATCGTTGCTACACTGTACCCAGACTGGCACATCTCCTCCCTGAGACCCTTCTGTAAGGGGATGTCCAGTTGTCTGCAGATGGGTCTTGGGTCCCCAATCTGTACTCCCCCTCATTCACAATGATTCGATTTTTTGTTCTTTGATGCTTGGTAACTGCTCTCTTCGACACCTCATGATCACACAGGCTGGTGTGTTTCTTGGTGGGCTTTGTTGCTTCTCCGCTAGATGGGCCGCTTGTTCACCTCCAAGAGTCCTCTTCACATACAACTCACATTTCACATGACCCAACAGTCCAGTCTCCTTGAGGGGAGTCAAAATCGTTGGCAGTCAGTTTTAGCATGTTTTCTCCCTTCTTGTGTTCATTGTGAGTAGCCCCCGTGCCCCCCAACCTCCCCTGCCAGGCCCCGAGGAACCGTTAGTCTAGTGACCACCTCCATAGGATCCGCGGTCTTTTTGTGGGAACTTTTGGTCACTTGCATTAGGAGAAGGCCCCACCCTTCTGCTCGGGCTGTGCTCTGTTTGCTGTGGGGTGTGGTCGGTAGACTTGGGGTGCTGATCTAGGATGGCGGAATTTGGGGGTTTGAGTGTTCAGGGGGCTGGCGTCTCAACAATTTCCCTGCATGTTTTCGCCCATGGCTGGACCCTAGCTCGCCCCCCTTGGCCATGGGCTCAGGCCTGGGCCCCTGTCTCCAACCCCTTCTCGGCCCCTCTCAGGCCTTACCTGTGCACAGAACCGACTCCAGGTGCACATTACCTGGTCCGCAGTGAAGGGACACTCCTCTGCCCTTCCCAACTAAGCCCCGCCCCTGAGTCTGTACTCCGTCTTTCTAATGCCTGCAGCTTGCTGCCCGTTGTTGCCTCCCCCCGGGGCGGGGTGGGTTCCAGGGACTGGGCCATCTCTCTCCTGTGACATTTCACACCTGCGTTGTGCCTGGCGGTCCCCTGAGATGCACTTGGCAATTGATGTCTCGCTCCTTGTTGTTCCTTCTCCCCAGTCCCAGCCTTCCTGGTCTCTTGGGAGCCTTGTGGGCACCGTACCCAATGAAAGTGGATATCCCTGCCTCCTGGTGGCAGCCTTGGGGGTCTCTGGACCTGGAGCCGGGAGGGGAGGCCTGTCTTGGGATTCCGTTTGTCCAGCAGGGGTGGAGTGTGGGAGGCTTGTCACAGGGCGTGTGCTGAATGCAGGGTGGGGGTGGGGGGCTCGCGTGAGGGTCTCCTTGTGGTGGATGGGAAGTGCTGTAGCAGCCCCTGGCTGTGAAGGGGGCACATTCACCCACCCCTCCTCTGGCACAGGACTGTGGGCAGTGGGGCCCTCTCCCTGGCCTGCTGCACAGTTAGGGCTGCAGTGCCATGTGCAGTTGATGTGACAGTGTGTCTCTGCCTACTGAGGCAGGACCGGCCCCTGGGGCCACGCGTCTGAGCCAGTGAGAGGTTGTGTGTATATGTGTCTGTCCCTGGGGTCATATGTCTGAGCTAGTGAGGTGTGTGTCTGTTCCTGGGGTCATGTGTCTTTGAGTCAGTGAGAGGTGTGTCTGTGTCTGTCCCTGGGGTCATGTGTATGAGCGTGTGTGTGTGTGTGTGTGTGTGTGTGTGTGTGTGT